GTATCCTTCAACTCTGCTTTCATAGGACAGTTGTATCAAAGCAGAGTTGGAGTACACGTTTTGATTACTAGATATACAAATAGAAAATTATTTCCTACCGGTGCTGACACACTAACGGCGCCACTGGATTTAGCGGCACTGGTAGCTTGACTTTTGAGCAGTTTCTCGATCTCTGCCTCCACTTCCTTCAGTCGCTTCTCCACCTCTGGCTTAGCCTTTTCGGCCTCGGCTTGGATTTGTTGGCTCAGCTCCTGGGCCTCGGCCTCCAACTGCTTGAGCACCTGTTGGGACGACTGCTCCAACTGTGATCTCAGCGCCTGGACCTCGGGCTCAGCCTCTTTGACGGCCTGTTGCACTCGCTGTTGGAGTTCCGCGTGTTGTTGTTGAAGGTGTTGAGACTCGGCCTCCAAGTGCTGTCTGACCTCTTGGGCCGACTTCTCTAACTGTCCCTTCAGGGCCTGGATGTGAGGCTCAGCCGCTTGAATGGTTGAGTTCAGTCTCTGCTGGATGTCCGCCACGTGTCGACTGGCGTTTTGGGACAGTTGTTGCAAAAATTCGTTCAAATCTCTCGGCGCTCTCTGTCCGACCACTTGGGCCGAGGGTTGGCCACCGACCTGACCGTTAAGTCCGGTCTGACCTCCCAAACCGAATCGCGACAATATTTTCTGAATACCGTTACCGCCGTTAGCTCCGCCATTAAGTCCGGATCCAAATCGGCTGAGTAGGCCCTGGAGTGGACAGTCGTCACCGGTATTGCCATTCAAACCGCCCAGAGCTGGGACTGGAATATAAAATTTTTGTTAAGTCACCTTGTTCAAATAATTTTAAATTTAGGTTTGTGTTACCGTTTTGGGCAATAGCCAAACCAAGCAAACAGACAAATGCTGTAATTTTGAGCATTTTATAGTGAAATACAATTATCTCTAATGTTATGAGAGAAATGAATTTCTATTGAAAGTGAAGATTTTAAAATTATCTTGCTCTCTTTATATACGTTTTTAGTTTATTAGTACATTTTAATTGTATTAAATTATATTAAAGGTAATTTTTAACTTTGACAGTGAATGTGTCGTGATTTATTATCGAAATGTACTAGAACATATTTATTCATTAATAATTTATTATTAACATCCGAACTGTTAAATTGTAAATATAGTATACACAAAACGGTTAATATATTCTAGCACATAAATAATTCTCATTAAATTAATTAGATTATAATTATTTTTTAATTAAATTAGACATTTAATAAACTGTTTTATATATGTTAAATACTGTTTGAAATAAAAATTATTAAATTTAAATGTGTATAAAATATAATGTATAATGCTTTTGCTAAAATATTTCCCAGACAACTAATGTCTATTTTATTAATTGGATGTTGCCTTGGTTAATTATAGACTCAATGATTAATAGGTACGTTCTAAACTTGATATAATTAATTAGTATTATATGAACTAAAATTAAATGACATACATGATTTTAATCATGTGGTTAACTGACAAACGGTATAATGATATTACATTAAAATTTTCTAGTCAGATAATTAAAAATTACAAGTTTGAGCTATTAAAATTATTGACAATTTAAAATTATATAATAACTGTAACTTTAATTTAATATCGTATTATACTATGTTCTGTAATTCATAAAATATTATATGGCGACCCTAATATCAAAGTTTCATAATTATTTATTATTATTCATTTTAATCACAAATTATGTTTGTGCAAGTAAATCTGAAATTCATTTTTCAATAACAATAATGGTAAAAATTTTATTACAAAGAATAATTAGTAATTTAATTATTTTATTTTAGAAATTTACAAGTAAAATCAACTTTTTGTTCGTAAAAATTAATAATTATTAAAGTTTAAAAATAGTTAACCCGGTAAGTTGTGAAATTTTGCAATACAATACAGTACTGTGTGGTCATATTAAAGTAGCATACAATGGTAACAATGTAAATGTGAATAATTTCAATTTTACACATATTAATGGACTAGAACATTTATCTCAATTTCATACATATAAAATCCGTGTCCAGTCTTACGGTGGAGTTTGCTCTCATAGACTATTTTGCCGGTTAACTTACCTTTTGATATCCCTATCGACCGTTCAGTACCCGGCCATAAGGGACTCAAACAACAATATCATGGTATCGATACACTTGACATACACTTTGATGCACTTCAGGGCCAACAGCTCGGACCCATCGATGGTCGGCGACTAACCTTATCCTGAGGTCCGGTCTGTGCCCTCGACAGTGGCGCCCCCTCTCAGTACTTACAAGTTGTTAGTTGTCCATAATATATTATATGACAATATTTATTAAAAATTACACAATAAAAAACCGTTTAACACCATATGATCAAATCATTAGTAACGATGATTGCATAATCCCTATCCTTGACTATGTTCTGTACTACTCATCAGCACGTGTACCTCACGTACACCATCCAGTCATACCTGGCTCATATACAGTACTCGACTCTAGAAGTTTCCATTAGTCGTACTGTACTCACCTATCCTCACAATTTGCTCACTAATAGCTATTTAAGATATGGTTCTCTATGCCACACAATAAGTCTGTGTTTAGCTCTCATACAGAGCACTACATCTCATGTAAACCATACATACATTCAGTTGTTATAATAAAGTGTTGTTCATTATCATTGAGTGGTATTTATTGTGTCCACAACTGGAACCGCTTAGTGGACGTCGTATGAAGGACCTCATGTCCAGCATTGGCGACAGGCCTAGCGATGAGACACTTGATGCTGCGCCGCACTCAAGTGGCCCGACGTCAGACTGGACTAGAAGTCGGTTTCTCATTCACAGACAGGCGTTAGAGCTTGGTGAACTTATTTGTAATATTAGTTATATTTCACGTAAACTTAAACACATGAATCAATTTTTCTTTATAATCACTAACTAAAGAAAAATTGATTCATGTGTTTAAGTTTACGTGAAATATAACTAATATTACTAATAAGTTCACCAAGCTCTAACGCCTGTCTGTGAATGATTTAAACATATGTTTTACATTAAAAATTATACTGCATCCTTTTAACATGGCATATTAATTATCATTAAAGTTTCTAAATTTTTGAATTTATTAGTTTAAAACTAAGTTTAATAATAATAATATTTGTCATTCACTTTCGTTTGACTTTCAAACATAAGCCGATATATGCGATACACATATAAACCAAAGTCCAGCCCATGAGGGCTATGGGACACCACTGGAGCCCCGACTCATCGAAACCCATGGATTCAATGACTTCTACTCCAGAGGTATAAGTAGTCGTCGATTGAGTGGTGTTTGTGGTGTCGGACGACATGTTTCCCACATTTCGCCACTCGTTTACAACCAATGATTGGTATCCGTAATATTGAAATGACAAGTATTGTATCCAATCTAACCACCCTGGTATTGTGCTAAATAATTGATCATGAAATAATATTGAATGCCCAATTAACATATTAATATTAAATACATTACCCGATGTTAAGGAAATATCCTCCCAATACATTCAATGGCATCAAAAGTGCTCCCATTATTGCATTGGCTGTCATAAAGTCCTTGCTTAGTGCAGATATTAAAAATCCTATATTTATTTTAATTTCAATAAATAATTAATAATTACTATTTAAGCAATTTTATTCAAATAAGGCATTTAACTTTAGGGTTACTTAAAAGTTATATATTTTGAAATTAAAAATTTTTAAAAATATTTAACATTAAATTTGATAACATGAATACTCAAACTATTAATTTATTTATTAATAAAATTTAAGTCTATACAATACTTAACCTCATTTACATTTACCTACTTTATTATTCGAATAGAATTTGATTTTCTTAAATATACTGATATTTAATAATAAGTTATTACCGAAATTCCAGCCACAAATCGTGGCCAAGATAATAACACCAAGGTAAATGAAAAATGCTTGTGCATTCAAATATAAACCAACGATGAAATACAAAATCGTCACATTGATACTAGTCAGTATTGCATTTATAGCCAACTGTTCAAGTAAATATAATTTATAATATGAGTTTATATGAGTTACTCGCTGTAAAAAGTATGTTCTTTGATCAGCACTGCAATTGTCAATAACCAATTGCTTTAACATAAAGCACTGTACAGTATCTCAATGAACACACTCCTGCAGCGAGCGACTCATAATTAAATTTATATGAGATTCATAATAATCTTATTATACAATCCAATAGTGTATACTTTGTTTGGTAATACTATTAGATTAAAGGTTTAACAGTATTCATATAATTTTATTCTATTAATATGCGTATTTAAATATATTTTCACTAATAGTGTACAGTAAAGGGTATAAAAACCCCTAAATAGTATACTGTACACCCCAATGGTGTACAATTGGTTAGTTTGTTGACCAAGGTAGCTGTACTATTTTGTAAAATAATAGGAAGTTTATAAGATATACCATATATAAAAACTTTAAATATTTAAATTATAATTAAAAATATATTATTGCTTGCATTGACTCAATCAACTAATGACTAAAATCCTTTACAAATTGTTTATTAAATCTGTCTTTTTTAAACAAATTCCGGATTATCGATGAGTTGTGAGCCGAAAGCTTTTTTTAAAATAAACTTCTATACTTTACACGTAAGCAATGGAAAAAATCTTTCGACTCACAACTCATCGATAAACCGAAATTTGTTTAAAAAGATAGAAATATGAAAACCTATGCATTACTAACAATGCGTTCCTTGCAAGTGTTATTCAGGTAATTAAATAGATTATGCTGGATTATACTCATATGGTATGGCATAATAGGACTGTCCAGGTCCGGTAATCTAGCGAAATGTCATTGGTGTTCAAATCGGTGATTATATCGGTCGACACACTATAAAAACTATACTTTTTGCTGTAAAATACACTCATTCATGGTATTGAAACTCTGACTCGTATAGAATGAGTAGTTTAATAGGCTTTTATAGCATAAATTTATAGCGCGTCGACCGATATAATCACCGATTTGGACACCTAGGACATTATAACAAAATAATGCTCTGGAAAGACTTTATAAGTGATCATCACGGAAAACTTGGATAAAATTATTTTGGATATGTTTTTCATAGTAAAATAACATACCAAATGAAAGCCTAATAAATAAGCTACAGTTTGATATTGATTTTAATGTGTAATCTTCAATATTATTTTCAAAAGTTAATTTCAAAGTCGTAACAAAAATGTTGAACCATACTATACATTATTTTTATTAAGTGTTTAATAATCATTTTAATAAATTAATCATTTGAATTTTAATTTGCTGTTTAATAAATATTCATATTTTAATCCAAATTGAAGATTATTATTTAAATAGAAAGTTATTCATTTATAAAACATGGTATACTAGATTACCGGACCTGGACAGTACTATTATACCATACCATACGAGTATAATCCAGTTTAATTTATTTAATTACCTGAATAACACTTGCAAGGAACGCATTGTAAGTTAAGTCCATTGGCCTATCTTTGAAGTTTTAAATCATATTAACAATAAATAAATAGATACTTAAACTTAACCTGTGTAATAATGGTCGCCAATATATATGGGAACAAAGCGTACGTACGGTTGTGGTGTTCCCTACAAAGTAAGGCTTCTTCTCCTATTAATGTCTATAATATAATAGAAAAATATGTTTATTTAAATATTTTTTAAGATTTTCAAATATATTTCTAATAAATGAACAATGAACTATTGTGTACATATAAATTTACACTATTTTCCAATTTAAATGCAAAAAATCAAATTGTCAAAAATGTTATTAAGAATATAATAAACTATAATTTTTATTATAATAATAACTTATTATTAATAAGTTTAAAATGAAATAATAATAATAATAATAATAATAATAATAATAATAATAATGCTTACATTTAGAGCGACCATTGTCTGTGACATTATATTTTGCAATAATATTACACTAAGAGCCCCTTTGATATTATCGACGTTGGAGTAGTCATATCCCTGTCCGTAGTAGAGTATCCCTATTAATACTGCCAAACACTATAGAAATGACACATTTGCATAATTGTGAGTTAATTATTTTAATTATCAATAATTATCAATGACATACGAGCACTTGGATTAATCGATCTCGTATCAAACTGGGATTCCGCATTAAAACAATATATGATCGCCATAATATAGTAACCAGTTGTTGCCAATAACCAGCCCTATAGCCCGACCCCAGTGTTGCCAAGTTTAATGCAGACATATTATCCACATTATATCCAGGGTTAATTGTGTGTACACTCCTTTCAAGAAAATTGTCGCATATTTCCTATATATGAAGACAATTGAAATATAAATATAAATAACTGGTTGAATGCATTTTGAAAAATTACATTAACTTTGCTTTTGGTTTGCGCATAATTACTATCCATTATTGCTATTTTGGGATAAATGATATATAAGTGATTGAAATTTATTAGGCATATGAGTAAAACAAACCCAATTCCCGTAAATAATAATCCGACGGATTGTAGGTTTTGGGACAAACCTATTGAAGAAATATGAAATTTTTACGTTTAATTAAAAAAAGTTAATTATAATATCAATATTACTAATCCTTGGGATGAAAAGAAATCTTTTGCTTCACCTATAAATGCAATGAAATTAATATTCACTTAAAATAAATATATAAAATATGAATACCGATGGACCCCATGAAGGCTACCCTTCCGTCGGCCATAAGTAATAAACTGTCGAAGAGTTCAAAGACTAGAGACGAGGGCTGATGTATAGTACAGACGACAGTCCGTCCCTCCGATGCCATAGTCTTCAGCACTTGTACTATACTTTTGGCCATAAATGAGTCCAAACCAGTG